AGAAATTGAAGAAGATATCAGAAGATGGAAAGATCCCGTGCTCATGGATTGGTAGGATTAACATAGTGAAAATGGCCATCTAAAGCAATCTAAAGATTCAATGCAATTCCCATCAAAATACCAACACAATTCTTTACAGACCTTGAAAGAAAAATTCTCAACTTCATATGGAGAAACAAAAAACCCAGAATTTCCAAAACAATCCTGTACAACAATAGATCATCTGGAGGTATCTCTATTCCTGATCTCAAGCTGTACTACAGAGCAATAGTAAGGTCAGATGTAGCCCGTGGTAGCTCAGTAACCAAGTGGGTGTCCCTAGTAAGGGGAACAGGGACTATTTCTGACATGAACTCAATGGCAGGCTCTTTGACCTCCCCACCCCCCAAGGGAGGAACAGCCATGCTAGGCCACAGAAGATGACTTTGCAGCTAGTCCTGAAGATACCTGGTAAAACAGGGTCAGATAAAAGGGGAGGAGGTCCTCCCCAATCAGTGGACTTGGAAAGGGACAGGGAGGAGATGAGGGAGGGAGAGAGGGTGGGATAGGAAAGGAATGAGGGAATGGGATACAGCTGGGATACAGTGTTAATAAAATGTAACTAATAATGAAAATAAAAAATAACATAAAGAATTATATCTGAATACTAAAAAAATGAGAGAGATAGAAACTACAGATAGACAATAGGTGATAATGCGCTTGAATAAAACAGTTAAATATAAGAAAAATGGACTCTCATAAACAATCAATAAATCAATCCTCATAAACAAAAAGAACCAAATTTGTTCTCACAATCTGTTACATGACACCTGGAGGAAGTAATTTGCATCTGCATTTTCTTGGACAAAACCTTAACAGTCAAAGATATTATAATCTCTCGTGATCTAAAGGTGTTGCGACATTTGAAGTAATGTACTGAATGAAATCTTGTCACTGCACCAAAAGAGAATGGTGTGACAGAACTAAAGCATCATTTGCATGATGCATGTACACAATGGGTTGTGTATCCACAGACTTCTTATGTATGTAATATTTTACTCCATAGGGTAAAAAGAGCTTCCAAAGTAGGGTACACTTCTATGTATCTATCTATCACAGGTCAGTAGAGCTTTGGTGTGAGAGTAATGCAGCATCCTATAACGTTAAATCACTGCCTTATCTTATATACACCTCTATTCCCAAGTGGACAGTAGAGAAACCAAGATGCCAATTTGAGAACACTGTTTTCATATTTTTTTTTTCCAGGAAGAAAAATGTCCCTGTCCTACCCACAGATTGGATCTTGAATGACTCCCAAAGGCACATGTTTTAAAAGCTTGGTACCCTGCCAGCACTGCTATGGAGAGAAGGTGGGTTTTTGAGAAAGGAGGACAAAAGAGAAGAAGTTAGGACAATGCCGAAGGAGGTATGAGGGCAGGGGCCCCTTCCTCTCTCTTTCTGTGCTTCCTGGCTTCCATGAGGTGAATATTTTCCCAGGCCATGTAGCCCCTGTCATGTACCACCACTTAAGAAAGCAACAGGGAGACGTGACCATGGCCTAAAACCTCTGAACCTATGTATAAGATAAAGTTTTCTTTTTGTAAGCTGATTTTCAGATACTTTGCCACAGTAAAAGAAAGCTAAATACCTACCCATCAATATGAAGCCATGCAGAATAACAGCTACCTAAATGCCCCTTGACTGTATGCTGAGCCTGCATTCTTGCCCTTCTTACCACAACCTGACATCTACCTATGCTCATCTGTGAGCCCAGATGCAATCCCTCCACTGCTTTAGGCGCTCCACATTTTTACTTTGGTCAGTCATTCTTGGTATAACTTCTTCACTACTCTTTATATTAGTTCTATTTGCCTATATCTGTATTCTCAGAGATTCAGAGAAGTGATCTAGCCCAAAGTGACTACTAGTGATTTCAGGAGCAGTAGTCTGACCACTTTATATTATAAGCAAATTTAAGTGCAAAGAAAAATGTTTACTTTAGATATGCTCCATTTGGCATATTTGGGTTACTTGTTAAAAAGGAAAAAAAAAAAAACAATTGTAATATTGAAGGCATTTCACAGACTTCTGATAAATAAGAAAGCGTAACAACTGGTAATAACCATGATTAAAGGTACTCATGCATGTTCTGTTTTCAGTCACGTTCCCTTGCACATGTAGACATGTCTAGTTAATTATAGATCATATAAGGCAGACAGTTTGTTATCCCATTTTAAAACTTTATGTATTCTCTTGGGTAATGAAATATTCCTCTGAGAGATAATTTATAATGACTGCCATCTTTAGATGTATATCTTGAGAATAAACTGCATATCTTGATAAAACTTTAAAAAATGATGTTACTGATCTATCTGAATTAATAGTAAAGTACAGTGGTCTTCATACTGTCTAAATTTTATGTATTAAGAAAAAGGCAAGAAATAAGACGGTGAAACAGAAATAAAGGTTGAATGTTTGTACAAACATATAATGTAATAGAACCACATTCATATTTAGCTATGATGAATTTCTACATTGCCTATTATTGATTCCTGACTGTAATCATTAGAGCATTAATATAGAATTATAAGTTTCAAGGAAAGTTGAATAAGGTTATATAAAATAGCTGGGATATAAGATTAATTTTATTTCTCATATAACAAAGCCTATAGGAGAGGTGAGACATGCAAAAGGAAAATTAAAAACAATTCTGAAGAAAATTATTTCAGAAGAGAAGATACTGAATCTTTTTACTTTTTTTTTTTTGTACTTTTTTTATACTTTGTGTATGCAGGCTTGTATGTGTGTGCCTGCTGTTGCTACTATGTTCATGCCAAGCTCAAAGGACGTGCCAGAGTTTGTTATTTCCTTATACCATATAGGTGGTGGGGATAAAACTCAGGCCACTAGCATGGTGGTAAGCAAGTTTCCCTGCAGAACTATCTGGAATTCCTGAGAGGGCTGATTTTTAAAATACAAAACAGCTCCACAAAAGACACAAGTTCTAACAACCAGCAAGCTTCAAATCCCATTTCTTCCCCTTTTCCCTACCCCCTTATGTGTTAGAGTCTCCACAATAGGCAGCTGTAAGGCCTCTTTCTATTTTCCAGAGGGCTAGGGATGAGGTAAGAGTCAGGAATGAAAGAGTCAGGAATGTTGAGGTGCAATAGCAGGACCTCAACATCTCAACTCAAGTCACCAACTGTTTTGTTCTACTTTGCCATTCCAGTGTCTGAGCCAATACTTTTTCACTATCTACCAATCCCCCTATGGTACTCTTTACCTCACAACTCCGTCAGCATGTCAGTTTTGCCATGAATATTTCTTGAGTTTTCACTAGTTTGCCTGTTTCTTTTTTAATTTTTAATTTAATTTTTTAAAATTTTATTTCAGTTTATTTACTTTATATCCCAAGGGTGCCCCCACCTTCTTCTCCTCCAAGTCTATCCCATTCCCCTCCTTCCTCTTCCCCTCCTCCTTTTCCCCTGGAAAAGGGAAGCCAAAGTATCAGCTCTCCCCAGTACATCAAGTCATATCAAGACTGAGCATATCCGCATTCCCTGAGGCCAGGCCAGGCGGCTCTGCCAGGGGGAGTTGATCCAAAAGCAAGCAATAGACTCCATGTTAGCAACATCCTCCCAACCTCCACTTGCCAGGTGACCCACATGAAGACCAAGCTGCTGATTGGCTACATGTGTGCAGGGTCCTAGGTCCAAGTCATGCATGTTCCCTAGTTGATGTCTCAGTGTCTATATGCCCCCACAGGTCTGGGTTAATTGTCTCAAGACACCATGATATGTACTCACTTAAAAGTAGATATTGGACCTATAGTACAGGATAATCATACAACAATCAACAGACCCGAAGAAGCTAAGTAACAAGGAAGGCCCAAGGGAGGGTGCTGGAATATCACTCAGAACAGGAAACAGAATAGACAGCAGATGTGGATGAAGAGAAGGAAATGGGAAGGAGATGGAATGTGAAGGGATACAAGGGTGGGGATCAGATGTGGGGAGAATGGGGTGGGAGGTGAGTGGACTGGGAACAAGAAGGGAAACTGAGGGAGGCATCTCTTTGTCAGGCTTATTCTTAAAAACTATCCAGGTTCAGGTATTTTCTTTTTTTGAGATTTTAAAATTATCATTTATTACAATTTATTCAATTTGTATTCCAGCTGTGATCCTCTCCCTCATCTCATTCCAATCTCATCCTCCCTCCCTCCTCTTTCCCTATGCCCCTCCCCCAGTCCACTGATAGGCATGGTCCTATTCCCCTTCCGTCTGACCCTAGACCATCAGGACTGGTTGCATTGTCTTCCTCTGTGGCCTGGCAAGGCTGCACCCCCCATCGGGAGGTGATCAGAGAAGGCTCTCTGAGTTCATGCTAGAGAAAGTCCCTGCTCCCCTTACTAGGGACCCCACCTGGAGACTGAGTCTATGGGCTACATCTGAGCCAGGGTTTTAGGTTCTCACCATGCATTGTCCTTGGTTGGGGTATCATTAAGAAATTTCAATCCATAATACCAAGTTACCATGCCCTTTTATCAAGATGTAACATAACAGGCTTCACAAAATGTTAATTATATACAGTTATTATCTCATATATAATTAATGAAGGTATGTTCGCTTAAAGTAATTGAAATTTCAAATAACTAAGACTCAGTTCAGTATATCTATATTTTAAAGTCTGTCTCCCAAACTTCAGAAAATATCTCTACTGACAGTTAAAATATATTTATCTCATCTCTGGTATCAAATTGAATGTGTGCATGTATTAATCCTAAATGTTTAGTTCAAAACAAAATGCAAGCTATTATCGTACCAAAATGGGTCTAGACAACAGCCCAGATTTTTTTATTAATACAAGTTGGGGAAGATAATACCTATATCATGGAAAGACTTGTAACAAAACAATGCTTAAAAGGGTAAAATGTAATGACACACATAATAGCCCTAGAATCTGCAAACTTCCACACAAATTATCATTCTATTGATTGCTATAAACAAGGTAGAATTCCTTACCAAGGATGAATTCCAACTGTGGCTCATTGGGAATCTTCTGGATGCCTATAAATAGTAGAAATAAGTTTAGGTTTTAAATGTATTCACTATAAATACTGTAATAGCATGTGTACTGTTTCACCTAACCAGGTGTTTACATACATTTTTGGCAGAATGAAAAAAGTAATATGATCAGGCTTACTCATTATGAATATTCAGGTAAAGACACATTTGCTGTCAACGAAAATGAAGAAGCCAAGTTCTAGCATGGATATGGGTCTGGTTATTTTGCTTATTAGTTCAACAAAATTCTGTTTAATACTTCTCCTTTTGTCACTGATATTTCAGAAAGAAAACAGCATATAACATTATTTAAGATGGAGTAAGAGTGGGGAAGTGGGTCTCAAAACAGGTACCTAGAAATGTGGGTAGCTGTTAGGAAGAGGAACACCAGGATGCAGCATCACACTGTGGGAGGGAGCCGCTTAAAGACCATAGAAGTCCACAGCAATCTCAAATAAGCACAGTCAACAGAAATTCAAAACGAGCATAGATAGTCAATAGTAGTTCCAAGCAAGCATAGATGGTCAATAGCAATCCCAAACAAGCATGGCGAGGGTGTGAAAGAATGATAATGCATTGGTTACAACATATAAGTAGCCAAAAAAAAAACAAAGTAAAACACAGGAAATGATATCACTTGACAATAAATGTAAAGCTCTTGACTTTGTGTATTTCTCGGAGACTGTTTAAATCAACTGGCATTTGGTCAATAACCTATTTTTAAAACCACCTTTTTGAACAAAATATAATGCCTTTTTATTCACAGAGCTGGCATTTTTTTTTTCACAGTAACCACCCTTTTTTTTTTTTCTCTGCTGCTGACATTTAAAATGTTTTAGCTAACAATGTTAGACTTTCCGATAGAGGTTAGATTATTAGGTATGTTTTTGTGAAAAATCAAATAGTGTAGAGTTTTGTTTGTTTGTTTGTTTTGTATTCTAATAATTAACTCTGCTCTAGGTTGTGACACCAAAATTAATGCATCCAACCAATACCATTTTCTAAAGATACTTTTAGTATATAAATTTAATGAGGCTAGGTATATATTTGCTAGTAATAAAAAAAAAATGTACAAAAGGACCATTCCAGTGACAAAGCACAGTTTATTCTAACTAACAAATGGAGACTGTAGAGTTTAAGCACCACAAGAAGCATAGCTTTCTCTTAAACTTCTTAATTACATGAGTAGCACAAAACCTGATTCCAGTGTTCAGATGTAAATCTGGCCAAATCTCAAAGCTTCCTCCATTTCGTGAGTTAGTGGCCTCTGGCAGAACAGCAGGGCAGCGCTTCCAGTGTGACATTTTTCACTAACGCTTTCAGCTTAAATACCTTTTGGCCTTAAAAATGTCTAGCCTCCAAAATATTAGTTCTCTATGAAAATAAATAAGTACCAAATGGGAGCTCTTCTTAAATATGATTACTATCGGGAAAGGGTCCATAAAATGTATTTATCAGTGTTTAATACACATTTGAATTTTTATCACTTGATGCTGGCTCATGATGACCTGCCATCTTTCTCACCCATGACAAAGGATGACAGAAATGCCATGCACTCAAACCCAAAGCACAGACAGCAAAGGGGAAACAATTAGATAATCTCACGACATGCAGTGGAACCTAGGTTTTGGTGAATGGTCAGGGATTTTGGTTAACCCAGTGGCTCTTCAGAGACCTTCAGGAGAGAGGACAGGCACTTACTCGTGAACTGAATGTCCTCAGAGTCATTTGCGTGAGAGGCAGGAAGAAAGTGCTGGCCTTCTTCTGACGTTCCTTCCTCTTTTATTTCCATGATCCACCTCACCACTGACTTCTTTTCCACTGTGTCTTCTCCAAATGGTACAGAGAGTGGGTTCTGGCTTAACGTTGGTATATCTTCACACTAATGATCTAACATCCCACTGTGAAATTCTGCACATAGAAAATATCAAGATTCAACATTGCTGCCATTTTAGATCTCAGTTCAAGGCTAAGAATTAAAATAGAAACTACAACTACTTTCAAATGACCTTCCCTCCATGCCCAGCCCTCTCACACATTTGGACACAAGCTACACAGTGTACTGGCAGTTCTTGGCTGTGTTTTCAGGGTAATAATTAGAGTCATATGAAGAAATTATGCAATCAGAAAGGTATATTCATCCCTTAAATTTTTTGAGCTATAAGATAGATTCAGGGCTGCTAACTTAGAGTGCACCGAGTAGGTGGAGGAACAGATGGCAGCCCATCAAGAAATTTGCTACCGTGACCATCACTGTGACTCCTTCCACTGGGATTGCTCTTTAAGTTCTTTAAGTTCCTCTCTGCCCTTGTCAGAGAATTAGTCATGAGCACACTACCATAATTTAGCGTGCACTTTTCTTCCAAGATAGGGTAAACCGGTTGAACAAGGGAGTTTCCAACCAACTGCATTATTGCCCGAGTCTCCTACTGTTCTTTCTGGTAGTGGTTTAATTGTTTAATGAATGGGATGTAGTGAAAAAAATAAAAAAATAATAATTCTCAAAAGCCAGAACACAAGGGAAAATGAAAGCAGCAACAACAACAACAACAAAAACCTGATGGGAATAACATGGGGAAAGAAAACCTCCCCTCAGATTTATTACCCTGTTATAGACGGCTTTAAACAGTTACAAATTCATGTGGATATACATGACCAAGAATGAATTGAAAAAAATCAATGTTGTTTTAAATCAAGTTACCAGCTGAATTAAAATGTGCAAAAATCTTTAAATGTCTACAGTGGTGTTTAATGAGATGCCAGCCAACAAGCTTGGTTTGGAATACTGATGTGACCTCAAAACCCACAAATCAACACTCTACTTTCTGTTCTTCTAAGCAAAGTGATTTCTTTTAATATTCAGCTTTAGTTCTTAGAAATAATCTGGCAGAAATTACATGGAGAAAGGAACCTGAATCTTTAGAAAATATTACAAAATAGCTGCTTGGTTCTCAATTTCTCAATGATATTAACAAGAGAATATTGTCTGAGGTAAAGGACTGTTTGCCATCAATTAAATCATAGACATTAATGTCAAAATTATTTTTTAATTAACACAATTCTTCCTAATTTTTTGGCTATTACATTTATACTTCTTTTCTAATAAACACACACATACTAAGTGCATAGCCTCTCAAAGACCTGAAAATTTAGTGGCACTTGGGCATAAGGATTTTGTCAACCTTATTATATTATTTTAATTAAATGTACAACTCTTTTTTTTCCTTTTTTTAAAATTCTTTATTAATTACACTTTATTCGCTTTGTATTCCCCCTGTGGTTCCCTCTTTCCTCCCATTCTAATCCCTCCCTTCCTTCACCCTCTGCATGCATGTCCCTCCCCAAGGATTAATCGTGAACAGTCATTTTAAAAAACTTAAAGACTCACAAAAGACAGTATGAATCCTTGATAAAACAGCCACTTGGTACAGTAAATGTGAACAAGTAATACAATACGTGCTAGTGAAGGTACGTGTGTGCACTTGTGTGATGTGGAGAAACAGGAGAAGAATGGATTGAGATGCTTCTGAGCTCTTGTTGCCATGGTTCCATCTGAAGCAGACCACCTACTCAAAACCAATGCAGCAAGAGAAAACAGCACACAAAGGAGAAGGAAAAAGTGAGTGCTACTGCTGAGCATGCACTCTATTTTTATTCTCCTTTTGTTGCACTAAAGAATAATTTAAGATCTGATGCTTGCTATTCAGATATATACCTCAGACTATATCAGTGGCAAAGCTCCAGAAAATACACTGGTAAGTAAAATACAGCAGTGTGTAAAGCATTTACTTGCTGCTGTGGTTGGCTTTCTTTTCTGTGCCTGTTTGGAGGTCTTCTGGTTTGCTGCTCATACGCAAACTGTGAGTTCTGCATACCACATGCATATTTAAAAGCCTCTTGTTTAAGCATAATGACTATTCAGTCCAGTTCTTGTGCCTTTAGCCCAACTCAAAAGTGCAATGAAGAGAATGCGTAGTTGTGCTACGTAACAGCTGGAAAGAACTGTTGTTGGTTCTTTGCTGCCCCCACTACTCCAGGAGAATAAGAGATGGGTAGCTATATCAACTTACATTTAATTGAACAGCATTTCTCATAGGCCATGTAATAAACACTGTGAAATATTCTACATACCTCATATGAAAATGAAAACTCTGATGTGCTCATAAAAGTCATGAAATGGTTGGTTAGGAAGAGACTGACTACAATGGAGAAAAGCAGAGACATCCCACGGTAAAGGGGCAATATGATATTAAATGTCTTCAGCATTAACAGGCCATTCATTACTGAGAGGCAGATCAAAATGTATCCTGTGATCAAAGCAGAGCATTAGAGGTAAACAGTGGGTGCAGGACATGATACTAAGAGAAAAATGCCCTTAGCCATCGTGGGATGTTTCAGATAGCATCCTTCTAGCACACTACTTGTATTCACCTAGCCTTATCAAATTTGATAAATGCTTAAAGTTATGTAAAAGAAGTTAAGACTGAAATTTTAATAAATTTACTAAGAGAAAATGGAAGAATCAGAGCTATAGCAATGACTTTAAAAAGGTATAATAAAAATACTCATTTTCAATAAAACTATACAATTTAGTTGTATCAAACAGTCCCATCTCTCTAGAGACTGAGCCCTGCTATTTATTTTAAGACAGGAAAGAGCAAGTCAACCAAGCTTGATGAAGCAAGCTGTGCTCACTTTTCCTGTCACTGTATATTATGTGAGTACACCTGGTTGGGCTTCTTGGATTTCTATAAGCAGTAATTTTGTGATAACAAGAGAGGGGCATGAGATGAGATTCAAAGATAGGGGAGTTTTACTCCACTCTTGAAACTGGAAGTCTATCTGGTGCTTTCTCAGACAATTAGGAATAGTGCTTCCTCAAGACCCAGCTATACCACTGTTAAGTATATACCCAAAATTTGCTCAAGTACACAACAAGGACCAACCATGTTTATAGCAGCTTTATTTGTAATAGCCAGAACCTGGAAACAACCCAGATGTCCATCAACGGAGGAATGGGTACAGAAATTGTGGTATTTTTACACAATGGAATACTACTCAGCAATCAAAAAGGAGGAAATCATGAAATTTGCAGGCAAATGGTGGGATCTAGAAAAGATCATTCTGAGTGAAGTATCCCAGAAGGAGAAAGACAAACACGGTATATACTTGCTTATATAGACCTATAAGATATGATAAATAAAATAAATCTATACACCTAAAAAAGATAATCAAGAAAGCAGACATGGGGTAAGATTATCAATCCACATTTAGAAAGACAGATGGGATGTGCATTGAACGTATGACAGGAGTCTACTGCAGAAGGCATCTGAAATACTCTACCTAGCAGTGTATCAAAGCAGATGCTGAGACTCAAAGCCAAACTTTGGGCAGAGTGCAGGGAATTATATGAAAGAAAGAGGAGATAGAAAGACCTGGAGGGACATTAGCTCCAGAAGGAGAGTAACAGAACAAGAAAATCTGGGCCCAGGGATATTTTCTGAGACTGTTACTTCAACCAAGGACCATACATGGATTTAACCTAGAACCCCTGCACAGATGTAGCCCATGGCAGCTCAGTGTCCAAGTGAGTTCCCTAGTAAGGGGAACAGGGACTGTCCTTGACATGAACTCAGTGGCTGGCTCGTTGATCACCTCCCCTGGTAAGGGGGAAGCAGCCTTACCATATAACAGAGGAGGACAATGCAGCCAGTCCTGGTAAGACCTACTGGGCTAGGGTCAGAAGGAAGGGGAGGAGAACCTCCCCTAGCAGTGGATAGGGGAGGTGCATTGGGAGGAGATGAGGGAGGAAGTGTGAGATTGGGCGGGGGTGAGGGAGGGAGCTACAGCTAAGATACAAAGTAAATAAATTGTAATTAATATAAAACATAAAAATTAAAATAAAAAATCAACTTATTTGTAGGTGATTTTAATAGTCCAGAAAAAATAAAACAAGAACTTATACCAAAAAAGAAAATCTAATTAGAAACAAGAGTCATGATTTCAAAAGAAATTATTAAACATAATAACTGGTCTTGGTGACAGAATTTGGTGTGATATTATAGTAACAATTGTGAAAATGGGAATAATTTTGACACCCAGGAAGGTCTGAACCACCAAACCCTCTGGAGAATAAAAAAGGCAATATTATTATTTTTTTATTTTTATATTAATCACAGGTTATTTACTTTGTATCCCAGCCATAGCCCCCTTCCTAATTCCCTCCCAATCTCTCCTTCCCTCCCTCATCTCCTCCCTGACCCTTTCCAAGTCCACTGATAGGGGGGATCCTCCTTCCCTTCCATCTGACCCTAGCTTATCAGGTATCTTCAGGACTTGCTGGCAAGGCAATATTTTAATTAAGAAAATGGATTTTGATTTAAGCATGTTGTTCTGTAGAAAAAATGTAGAAAGTGCTTGAACACACATGGGCATAGAATCTAAAGAAACCTGGGCTACAAAATACATGTTTTCTATATCTCTATATTTCTACATTTGGAAACACTGGCTAATGGCTAAGTCAATATAATGGGGCCATGATCAGGACATATAACCTGAAATAAACCCCCTTTTTCCTCAAGTTGATTTTGATCATGTTGTTTTATCACAGCAATACATTCTAAGAGTAAGTCATGTGTACTTAGCAATGCACTGAGCATTATCATAGGAACAATACCAAAGCCCTGATAAGTTACTGCTAGATTGATACCAGCTTCTCTGCACACACACATTAAAGGCTGAGAAGTAAAACAGGGATGTCCACCTCCAGCTATGGATCCTCTTTAGCTTAGACAGTACCATTCTGCATAGCACACAGATAAGGAAGAAGAGGAAAGTGAGCAAGGAAAAGGAAGAGGAGAGGAACATGATGATGATGAGGAGAAGTACAATGGGAAGAGCAGGGGGAGAAA